TTGCCCAGGCTGGTCTCGAACCCGTGGGCTCAGGCAATCCTCTCGCCTCAGTCTCCCAAAGTGCTGGGATGAAAGGCTGAGCCACCGAGCCCGGCCTATTATCTTTCTTTTGTAGATCAGGAATTCAAGCCAAGAGAAGTCAATCGATGTGGTTCAAACCATGCAGGCAGGCATGGTGGCTGACCCTACTGACCCCACTCTCACTTGTCACTCTGCACTAGCTCCCAAGGACCTGGGAGAGGACAGGGCCCTCCACTAAGGTGAAGAAGAGTGAAGAAGGAAGGATTCAAAAAAGGAAGGTCACAGGCCGGGCTCGGCGGCTCAGCCTGTAAGCCCAGCACTTTGAGAGGCCTGAGCCCGTGGGTTCGAGACCCACCCAGGCAACTTGGCGAGACTTCATCTCTACAATCAATCAGAAAAATTAGGCAGGTGTGGTAGCACGCACCTGTAGTTCTGGCTACTTGGAAGGCTGAGGCAGAAGGCTCACCGGAATCCAGCAGGCTGTGGTGTCCGGGAGCGTGCCACTGCACTCCAGTCTGGGCAACAGAGTGAGACTCCAACTCAAAAAAAAAAAAAGAAAGAAAAGGACGGTCTCAAGTTCCCCCAGTGGAGTATCTTCTGCAGGAGTCCATTATTCACCCAAGAACTCCCTATGGAACCACGAAGAGCAATGTGTGGACATAGTCCGTGAACTTGGGGCTCTGCAGAGGGCTGTACTATATGGGCTCTTTCACAGGGCTGAGAAGAGCAGAATTGCAGTGCTAGAGAGGCAGTACGGCCAAAGAAGTCTCACAGAGAGACTTTCCTCTGCTGCAAAGCCAAATCCTAGACAGAGCACAGAAAGTACAAATTGGGGCTCACCCAAAGTTGGTTCTCATCACAATAACCAATATTCACGATAGCACGAATTCACGTATACTTTCAGCAGAATTACTTTTTTGGCTTCTGAATATCTATTCATACACTACTGCTCTAATAGAGTAGAATCTCACTACTTTTTTTTGAATTGGCGTCTCACTCTGTTGCACAGGCTGGAGTGCAGGGCGCACGCTCACGGCCACCACAGTCTCGGTCCACTGGGCTCAGGCAATCCTTCCATCTCAGCCTTCCGAGTAGCTGGAACTACATGCATGCATCACCACACCCAGCTAATTTTTTGATTTACTGTAGAGATAAGGTCTCTCCAAATTGCCCAGGCTGGTCTCGAACCCCTAAGCTCAGGCAATCTTCTCACCTCCACCTCCCAAAGTGCTAGAATTACAGGCATGGGTCACCGTGCCCAGCTATTTCTTATCTTTTAAAAAATGTACTCCTCTTGGCTAGGCACAGCAGCTCACGCCTGTAATTCCAGCACTCCAGGAGGTCAAGGCAGGAAGATTGCTTGAGCCCGGGAGACCAGCCTGGGCAACATAGTGAGACTTCTTTTCTACAAAAAATAAAAATATTAGCCAGGTGTGGCAGTGCACACCTGTAGTCCCAGCTATTTGGGAGCCTGAGGAAAGAGGATCGCCTGAGCCCAGGAGATTGACACTGCAGTGAGCCATAATCATGCCACTGCGCTCCAACCTGGATGACAGAGTGAGACCCCAACTCAAAAAAAAAAAAAATTTTACACCTCTCATTAGAAAGGTAGGCAAAATTCTCTACGATAAATCTGAAGAAAGGAAAAACGGATGACCCATTTCCAATCTCTTGAGGGGATGTGAAACAAAGAAATTGTAACCAGATTGTCAAGAATTTGGTTTTAAGAATACCCAAATGATCCTTTACAGGAAGTCAAGCCAATTAATTGCTTCTACAATAGAGGCCACTCTGCCTCTTTCTCCTTGGTCCATGGCTAGGGAGCCCCTCTTTTGCGGTGGCTGAGGGGACAGTCCAGCAAGGAAAGCTCCAGCTGGGTCTGAGTCAGTGTACACACCTGTAGACATGCTATCATTCCAAAAAGAAAAAGGATAACTTTGAAAACTTCCCACAGTTGCTGATGTGTATGGATATTTCTGTAGCCTTGTTCTGGGAAGATTCTTCCTTTGACTTAGCAGGTGCAGCTTAAACTTGCCAAAGAAGATCTTCAACAAAATAATCTACAAAAGTTGGGAGAGTCCCACATTTGAGAGAAACAAAACTTTACTATAAGAAAGTAAAAGCCCCCAGCCAGAGAAGACACACCCAAATGACCCAAAAATGCTTAAATTCTGATTTAGTACTTTTCTTAGATCTAAAGTCTTTGAAGTAATGAATCTCAATGTGCTCATTACTTATGAAAACACATGAATAACTTACGTGCTTTTCAGTTAGTCAACACAAAATAATACTTATAGATTTAGAATAAATCTTCCTTTACCTCCTGAATAAGAAATACACTTTATAGCTGAGCTCGGTGGCTCAGCCTGTAATCCCGCGCCTTTGGGATTGAAGCTGATCATTACTCATTATAAGAAACTGTTCTCCTGCAACAAAATGGGCTTCTTGCTCCCAAATCCTTGAGATGAGTCTGTAAAAATGATAGACACGATTAATCTCATTAACAGTTTTCAAGGCCGGGTGCAGTGGCTCAAACCTGTAATCCCAGCACTTTGGGAAGCCAAGGGAAGAGAATTGCAACTTGGTGAGACCTCATCTCTACAATACATTTTTTAAAAAACTAGCCAGGCTGGTGGCACACTCTACTTTTGGTCAGTTACTTGGAAGGTTAAGGCAGAAGGATCACCTGAACCCAGTGGGTCAAGGCTATGGTGGTCATGATCATGCCACTACACTCCAGCCTGGGCGAAAGAGTGAGACTCCCACTAAAAAAAAAAAATGTATATAGATAGATAGATAGATATTTTAGGATTGGAAAATATAGTTTATTTAGAAAGTAAATTGAAAGAGAGAGAGAAAGAGGAGATTCACCTCTCCAAGATAGGGGAGGGGGCCAAAGCTTAGAAAAACGTGGCCTATATTTTGATTCATGGTGAAATAGCTATTCGCGTATGATATATGATATAGAATTACCCTCCCTCAAACTTAAGAAAACAAACTGAAGGAAGCAAAAACAGTAATACATCAAAATGAGGGAGAGAAAGAATCAATTCTCCAGCAATATTAGGACCAGAAAAAAGGATCCAAAACCACATAAAACAAAACAGAGAGGTAGAATGTAGAAGAAATAAGCTTGTATCCAGAATATATCAAGATGTCCTATAAATCAGAAAGAGAAATACATAAAGCTAGGCAAGACTTCAGCAAATCTTTACAAAAAAGAAACTCCTAGTTGCCAATGGTGATATCAAAACTGAATCTACCTCATTAGTGTACACTTCAGAGCTCTAAAATGAAGATGGGAAGCCATTCTAAGAAGGACCACCTGTATGACCTGCAATCTTGCAAAACAAAAACAAAAACACAAAAAAATGTTTTGAACCTTTGAACCAAGCAAAACTACAATGGCCACAACATCCTGGAAAAAAGCAAAATTCCACCAGCGCCACAACTCCAAATAGCAACAACCAATGAACTATGGGCTCAAGTACTTAGCAGCCACCTCTACCAATAATTCCTCAAAATAACTTTTGTAACCACCCTTAGCTTCCTTTAAAAATCCCTACTCCCCTTCCTCTCTTTAGAACACAATTTGGCCTTTAGCTGAACCTGTGTTTCCTTTTTTTTTTTTTTTTTTTTTGAGTTGCCCAGGCTGGTCTTGAACTCTTAGACTCAGGCAATCCTCTCACCTTGGCCTCGCAAAGTGCTGGGATTATAGACATGAGCCACCCCGCCCAGTCTTGTGTTTCCTAAATTGCAATTCCTAAGACCCCCAATGAAATGTCTTGTCTTTAGTGCTTTGCAGGCTGGCTTTTCTCCTCTTCTTGGTTGACATTAAATGATGTCAGAAGCAACTCTCCTCCTTTGCCTTCTGGCACCACCACGAATTTGGGCACAGTACCTGCAGGAACCCCTTGTGACCCATCACCTTCCCGATGGCCCTGGATCCTATTGATAAGTCTTCTCATTTCCCAGAACACCCTGCCCTTGGTTGAGATTTAGGCCTTTATTAGATGTCCTTTGATGCTGGTTGTCAACAAAGGGATTTTTCCCTTACTCATAGAGACTTCTGCTTATGTATATTATTATTACAGTAAGTCCCCTCTATATGAGTCTTCAAGTTATGAACTTTAATGATGCACACTGCACTTTTTAATGTATTCTTTCTGCCACCTTTCTGTCTGTTAAATACATACAGTACATATAACCGATTGTGTTACTTGGGTACCTAGGCTAACTTTGTTGAACTTAAAAGAAATTGGACTGTCCAGGCGTGGTGGCTCACACCTATAATCCCAGCACTTTGGGAGGTCAAGGTGAGAGGATTGCCTGAGCCCACGGGTTCAAGACCAGCCTGGGCAACTTGGTAAGCCCTCATCTCTACAGCAAATCAAAAAATTAACTGGGTGTGGTGGCACATGCTTGTAGCTCCAGCGACTTGGAAGGTTGAGGCGGAAGGATCTCCTGAGCCCGGCAGGTCGAGGCTGGGGTGGCCATGAGTGTGCCACTGCACTCCAGCCTGGGAGACAGAGTGAGACTCCAACTCAAAAAACAAACAAACAAACAAACAAATTGAACTTACAAACACACTGAACGGAACTTATTCATATGTTGGGGTTTTCCTGTTATCTTATTTCATTTTATTTTATAGTTGTGAGATACATGTATACTTACTACATAAGTAAATTGTGTACAGGTGAGGTTTGAGCCTTTACTGAGCCCTCTTCCCTTGATAGTAGAGCTGGTACCCAGTGAGTGGTTGTGTGTTGTTGGGAGCCAGCCATGGAGGTCCACTGAGCGTTAGGGATCAGGAAGGGCCATTGACCCTGAGACCACTAGGATGCATTCAGGAGCTATTTGACCCCATTTCCTCCCCCTTTCTACTCAGCACTAACCAGATTAAGCTCCTGTGAGCTCAAAAC